TCACTGTACTAAAGGCATATTTATAATGTCCAAAAAGTATATTTTAACTATATATGTAGTAAGTTATTTCCTAGTTGGGTACAGGGTAACTCCTAGTCGTGCAACTATTAGATAGAAAAAGGCATATTGAAGTTGTGCAAATGTATGTTACAGAGAAGACCTTCAATATATAAATTTATACCCATTGAGAATGGATTACTTACAGGGCATTTGTTGGTCGATCAGTGAAACTTAATTTCCCCTTTGCAGCAGGCTTAAAACGCAATCAAGCGTCTTAGAATTTTCCATTTCTTATGTTTCCCATTGTTGTCGCCCTTCTTCCTGTTGTGTTCACATTCATTTTTAATATTGAGAGCGCATTTGGGCCTAGCTTCTGCGAGCATTAAAATTGGCTTTAATTTAAATTATGAATAAGTGCTCATTTGGGTCTGGGGCATAGGTCAAGTAGTCGCCGGGACACTGACGCCTGTCGCCGGGCCTGCTAATGAAGTTCAAATATTTAGGGAATTAGGCCGTCGAAAGACTCAAATCTTCAAATTGGAAAACCTTTAGCATTTCATGCTAATGACAAATGCTTTTATCTTTGCAAACACAAAACGGCAAAAAGATAAAAATAATAAAAGAAAAATTAAACGCAATATTGTTGGCAACCTGCTGCTGTAGCTGCTGCTGCTGCTGCTCGTGTAATTATACTCTTTGCGCAGGGCATTATAAATACTTAATGAAGTTTGCCAGGCGCGGCACGAGTTTTCTGTGAAAGTAAGCATTCGGCTGACTTGTAAAAGTCTAGAATGGTGCACAGAAAAAGACAGCATTAGGCGTCATAAGCTATCTGCTGAGTTAATCAAAGAGTCTGTTTAAACAATTTGCGAATTATAAGCCCTCAGCACTTACAAATTGAATATTTATCATACTTGCGGTATGAACCACATAATGAATATATACTCATGATCGGTACGAGCTTACATATGTGATATGTGCTTCCTAATAACATAAATGTAAGTTTATTGCTTTGTTAGAGTATTTATGCTTCGGCTTAGTGAACCGTGTGGCTAGTTTTTATTTTCGGCCGCCTCATGCTGACCCTAATCATTATGCTGGGCCTGGCCCGGCTAGCTGGCCAGCTAGTGAAAAGCGTCAGCAGGAGCGGAGCTGGGAGTGGGGGAAAAGTGGCAGCTTGGGACCGTGAAAATTACACGTTTTTTGCTTTGAGGTTACAATATTACATGCCAGGTGGGTGTTCACTCGCCCGGCGGAGGGGTAGGAGCAGTTAAGGGGACTTAAATTTATGCATTCTTTTTTTTTTTTGGTTACGTTTATGTTGCTTTAATTAAATTTCTCTTTTTTTGGTCGCTAATTTCGGCATTTAGGCGCGTCTAAATTTTTTTTGTGGTTCTCTTACTTCCATTGAAATGAGAAAATATGGTGGAAATGTGAAAATGCGGCACGTAGGCGTGGCAGTTAATTGGCCCGCCAGAGGTTTATTATTTATACATTCTTTTCTATCCCTGAGGGGGATATAGGGGGGTATATAGCCATAATTTATGTCTTATTTACACAAAGCGCATGTGACAACAGCTGCCGGGGCTGGGCTTAATTACGGAATCGATTATTAGCCGAGCGCTAATCAAGTCACTCGATACGCTACGCTACACAAAGGAGTCGGCTAGACAGGTTTCGCGTTGATCAGGTGAACGATTCTTTGTAAATATAGCGCACGACCAGCGACGGGATGAAACTCAAAAGAAAATAGAGGCCAACTGTGCCCAGGTAGGGAGCGCGAACAATGCAGCCGAAGTCAAGCGATAGCGTCGGAAAACCTAATGAGTTTTTCATTTGTGTGCAGCTGATGAAGGCATTAGGCAAGTGGAAAATTGTGCATTGTACACAAGTCTAAAATAGAACGATAACCATAAGAATGTCGCAGCGGTTGTTGGGTTTTTACCTAAATGCATGATTAACACATGAAAATTGAATAAGTTAATTCAATTTCTACACGTTTGGCAGGTCTGGAGATCTTAATTAAGAGAGGCCCAGAAGTCGTGCACTCTTCTGACGTCACACTGAGCTGAGCTTTGTGCTCTTCTACTGCGGAAGCGGCTGCGAAGCACTGTACATTGATAAAGCCACTTAAGACAGTGAGTTGAAGCGAAGAAGAGAGAGAGAGAGACAGAGAGAGAGAGCGACTTGCAATCAGCTGAGCTTGTCAACAAATATGGCGGCCAAGTGAGTTGTTTTCGTGCGTTAGAGCAACAGGCGTTTGCCCAGCTGCTGAGTCATTGGCAAAAGCGCCAACTTTTGCACTGCGAGAAAGGGAAGAGTTCAATGACTGGCAACAAAAGTACTTAATAAAAATTAATTGCCCAAATCAAAATGAAATAATTATATATGAGGAAAATAAGAGGAAAGTTTACAAGCATTTAACCGTTTTGTTATATTAGCTAAATTCTCGCAGTGTAAACACAATTGCTAAATTTCAAACACAGCTGCTATTCATTAGCTAAGAAAGAGTGAAAAAAACACGTAAGAGAAAGAAACAATTGGACAAATGCTGTCAGGCAGCGTGTTTATTGATTTTGAAAGTTTTGCCTAAATGTACAACATAGCTCAACATACATATGCATGTGTATGCATGTGTGTGTGTGTGTGTGTATGTAACAACAAAACAAACACTGTCATAAGCAAGACAAAGGCAACAAAAAAATAGTCAGACTGTCATTGTTGCAAAAACAAACAAATAAGTAGAAACTAAGTAAATAAATAATATTAAAAAAACACTCGCACACACACACACACATGGACAAGTGTCATGTCGATTTACAAATGGTTTTTAAATTTTCGCTGACAAACTTTTACCCGCCGCGCAGTTGGCCAAGTCCGTTGGCTATAACCGCAACTGCCATTACAATTATGGCTACTTTCTACTAATGTGGCCCTAACTAGATCGAAAAAAGGCCAAGTCGAAGCATCTTGAGCATTTCGCGTTGCCATTTTTCCCGCTTCCATTGTTGTTGTTCTTGTTGTTGTTGTGCTTAGCAGACGGTTAAATGACTTCCGCACAAAACTGAAACTAGATTCATCTTCTTTTGGGCCATTGTTGCTGCTGTAGCCGTTTTTAATCTGAGATGAGCATGAAAAACAAACTGACCCAAATTCTACGACAAACGACTAACGGCAGTTTAGAAGGCGGCTTAAATCTTTAAAGAAAATGTTGGGTTACTTAATAAAAAGCAGCTTTTAAAATATTACAAGAGTTTACCAAGGTACGAAGAATAAACATGAACAATTGTACTAGAATACTTAGGGATAATATTCCGTTCAAGATAGTTATTGATAAGAGGAAAAATTTTAATCAAAACAGAATAATCTAAATTTAGCTAAGCTTAAAATAAACATTATTCTCTATACAAACATACATTCATCTCGTTAAAGCTAAAAAAAAGTAGTATATAACTTGAAAATAGAAAACTATTTAATTTATAATTAATACATAAAATTACATTTATTACAGATTTATCAACAGCTAACAGAATATCGATTGAAATGCATTTGTGAGTGGATTTTGAGTTGTTTAATGGATTTTCATTGTTCTTACGACCAGTTTTAATAAACACAACAATTGTTGGCAATGCTCTCTGATTGATTATTTAAGTCATAAAGTATTTAATGTATATATTACAGTGATTACATGCAAAGTATTACATTAATAAAAAACAATGAAAAATTCTATTAAATTCGTTAAATTTATATTTTCAATAATACTCCTAGTTTTTAGATTAAAAGGATTACATATTCTGCTTTCTATAGATTTTCTTAGGACGATCTGCATTAGACATTTGAAATAGTTTTTTCTTGTGGTGTAACAAATTATTATCAAAAAATAAACAAGTCTTAAAAAATATATATAACTCCGGATTTGCAATAGAGTTTAAATAGAGCTCGTCAAAAGGAATACTAGAAGAACTATCTAAAGAATTATCTAAACAAAATCGTATTTTGCATGCAAACATATTCTATTTCGCATTAAAATCAAGCTCTACAAAAATTAATATGAATAACATGCGCTTATCACCTGGGGTCAAAAGCTAATGTCAGCCGATTATTTATTGAGCGTTTCCCGTTTCCCGCTGTTCTCAGCACGCGTAGCACGTTAAGTTGGCTGCGCAACATGTTCCCCGTGAATCCCCAATTAGAATTTCATATCATATGCATTTAAATTGCTTTAAGCCAAGTCCCAGTCGCTCACGATACTCATACAAAGAAATTCCCACCTTTTCTGGCCACAAAAAACAACAGCAACAAAAAAGAGTGCAAGTAAAAAAAAACCTGTTGAGCGCAAATAAACTTTTATTGTTGCCCCGCTGTTGTTGTTTTTATTGTTGTTGCTGTTTACTCTTAAACTGGTTCTTCAAAAACAAACACACAGACACGCACATTGAGCGCTGATATGCGAAGCTTTTAGCTAAGCTTGCAAAAGCATGCGGCAGATCAAACTTTGGCTTACAAAGAAGAGGACAAGAAACAGATAAAGAAGGCGAAAGACGCGAAGCACGCGTCAAGGCCAAATGCAGTTAGATTTGCGAAAACAATTAAAAAGAGAGTCGCGGAAATAATGCATAAATGCAAGAGATGCATATAACAAGTGCTTTGGCTGGTTGTGTAACTGTAACAACAGTTATTTGCAGCTAGGAGTGTGCAATGGGAGAGCGCAAATTCACCGCTTTATAGCGCTAAAAACAACAACGGCTAAGCACACACTCACACATTTAGCTGATCTACATACAGGTCAAAGCGGGATAGCTAGCGTGAGCGAAAGCGAGAGCGATACAGACGGACAGTAGATTGCCCGCCAAGCGAAGCTTAGACGCATAGAGCAAAGCACAAAACGAAACATTAAATATAAAAAGATCGAGTTAATAACGGGTTCAAAGAGTGTAATGTAATAAAATTAAAAAGCGCTTGCATGTGTATGTAATTATTTAATGCTTGTAAATGCATACCGTTTAAAAAGATCCGTGGAATGTGAAGCCACAATTTGTTGTTTTGTCTTCAACTGTTTTTTTACGCACCTTCAATATTGTTAAACAAACAGCGAAACAGACACTTCAGTTGTTTTTGTTTTTGTTGTGTTTTGTTTGTAATTTGCTTTTGGCAATATTCATTCCACACTTTCACACATTTGCATTAAATGGCGTTACTTGCTTTCATTTGTTGTTCAACGCATCACTTGCCAAAATCTTTGTTGGCCACAGAAATACCAATTACCAATTGCTTGAAAACACACACGAATCACACGAGCGTCGGGGCTTAAAGAAATTCACAGATTTGAATTGTTTCTCTTTTTGTGCAAGCGCTCTGTGTGCACACACGACGGACACTCTGAATAAACTAAAGCAGCATAACCGTTTGACTGACTGTAGACGCACTTAGCAGCGCTGAGAGCGTTAACATTTCGAAGAGAGTCGTTAACAGTGCGTTGTGGGTGCTTGCGTTGAACAGAAAACTCGGCATATGTTACGTTTAACATTTTGTTATTGTTGTGCCAAATACTTGATTGGACTTACTTGACCTATGCAAATGAGGCTGTAAAAATAAAGGTGGTTTGTCTATAATATATTGATATGATATTGACAAATTTTTAGTGCAAAATATACAACAAGTTTTGGTTATAAAATGTTTGAGAAAAGTTCTTACAAAGTAAGCTTCAATAGGTTAAATGCAACTAAATATTATTTGTTTATAGATAATTTTAAAATTGAATCAAAACAAAATATCAAGCATTAGATATTCTCTTAAACCTAGCCTCTCTTTGGTTAGGGCGCAGAGCAAGAAATACGGGTTTTGGTATTTTAACAGTCAGTATAAGAGCTGCTGTAGCAGACTTTGTATGCGTCTCAGTGGGATTGTATGTGTATTTATAGACAACTTGTTTTGTTTTGGGCAAATGCCGGTCGTTGTTGCTGCTGTTGTTGTTATTGCTGTTTAGTTAGTTCTTGTTATGTTTATGGCCAAAACTCTAACTAGTTGGCAGCCCAGAGGCAGCGGCTGATTACAGTTATTATGGCATAATTGTGAACGAGCGTCCCACTGAGAGAGTTTCAGCTCCAATGCAATTTACACTCGCGTGCGATTTGGCCTAAACTAGATGAATGCAATTTGAATGCTATTTGTAGTTGCTTTGCTGCTGTTGTTGTTGTTGTTGTAATTTGTGTTAGTTATGTGCATATATGTATTTCGCTCTGAAGGGATTTTAAAGGAGCTATATATATATAATATAAGTGGTTGTGTTGCCCGGTTTTGCCCGGGCCAATATTTCTTGCCCATGGGAAAAGAAACTGATCGAGTGGGTTTTCACTTAGATTTTTAGAAATGAGCTTGCTTCAGAGGGTCAGCAAAAAAGTTGCATTTAACCGTTTTTCACCGATAATCCACAGTTGCGGGTGGAATTTGCCAAAATATCTCTTTGGTATGCACAAATAAAACAAGTTTAATTTGATCTAATTTTTTTTGAAAATGCCAGATCCTAAGCTTTTTGAATAAATATAAAAAAACGAACTCTCAGTCAAGAATTATTCAAAGTAATTTCTAAATTACGGGATTCGATAATTATTACAATAATTTGATACATACTTATAAAAGCAAACATTCTAGTGCCTTAAAGATTAATTCATAAATATTGTTGAACATAAATTGGCAGAGGCGCGTGCAAAGCCCACATAAAACCAAGACAGCTTGTCCGGCGAGGCCATTCACAGGGTACAAATACACGTGCGTAGATACAGAGATACAAAGCAAGACACAGATACAGATACAATTTCAAAGACGCTGCTGTCGACGCAGCTAATTGTTTGAAAAATGTTTCGATGTCCTCGCAAATATGAAACACTCGTAATTATCCAGATGCCAAAACTTGAAATGTAATATTGGCCATAAATATGACTTTGCCACACAGAAAAATCCTCGACATGCCGCACATTGTTTCTATTAACAAGACGCTCGGAAATGCCCCAGACACACACACACACACACACATACATACATACACACGATTCTAAGATATTTATTAGTGTACGAAAAAATTTCACTTTGAATTTGTGCCGAAAATTTAATTTGATTTCATTTTCATCAAATAGTGCAACAAATGAATTTTGTACGTGCCACCAATGCCAAAAATGTTGGAAAAGAGTGTGAGAGAGAGACAGAGAGGGGGTAGGGGGACAGATGGAAATTTCGGAGGGCAGGACCCACATGTGTGTGGCAAAGGCAGAGGCAGAGATTTGTGAGCATTTGTGTGCGACGCTTTGTTGCGTGGTTGGCCACGACACACGCAGCACGCAGCATGCGGCATGCGGCATGCAGCATGTGGCAAGCGGCAGGCAGCAAGTGGCAAGCGGCACGGAGAACCATAAATTCCAGCCGCTCAATAAACTAATGGCAATTTGTATCTGATAGATACATGCGAGCCAAGTCCGAGTTCGGCTGCCTGTCTGCCTTTCACGTTCCAAATTATTTCTGTGTGCGTGTGTGCGTGTGTGCGTGTGTGTGTGTGTGTTCGATATTAGTTTTCCTTCTTTTTTTCCTGCTTCATTTTCAATCCTTGTGACACTTTTATCACACACGTTCGACTCATCAAAAAGTTAACGACGATAATGACAAACATTTCAAAAGCAAACACTCCGCATCGCATGCAACGAGCCTCCAGCAGCAACCAGCTGAGCCAGAAATATAAACAGAACGCGAACCAGAACCAAAACCAGAAATATCACTCGGTTAGGCTACCCTCCCCCCGAAACCCTCGACCCACCCCTCCTCGTTAAAGTCAATGTCTGTGTGTCCACTGCTAGATAAATATCTCATTTATAAGGTCTGTCTTTGTTGTTGTGGGCAAACACCTTAATTAACTTTTTTTCTTCTTGCATACCCTGTAGGCCATATAGCGGGCACCGGGCATGCGTGACTATGGACAGGGTATGTGAAGGGAGTTGTGATTCTTTGATGATACTACACGGATCCTTAGAGGGAGTACCGTGTAGTGGATAGGGTGAAAGTCAGCCATTTAAATATGTTCCGGATCCACATCAGCTATGATAGCTAGTAAGACCCAACATAATACAAATAGTATACTATATGCAGTCTATGCCAGGTTTTGTTAATTATAACAAAATCTGCTTTGATTTCCCGCAACTCAAACGAGAATCTGTGCTTAAAACAGGGCTTTTTTATATGTATTTTTCAATTCTTGTAACTTTCGTAAGTTTATCGTCCAGGCAAAAGGCCGAGCTATGCTCCATTTAGAGCTCGATTTTATCCCCTAGATGTAAAGTAAAGGCCATCCACATATGCTCGATGGCAGATTTAAAGGCGATAGACTATCGATAGCAAAGACTTAGCCCTAAATTGGTAAGTTCAACTTATTATTTTTTATGGTCCGTAAAGGTATTGAAGGTTCAAATCGAATCTACCGATAGAAATACGGTAGATTTGAACATGTATAAAATTCGTTCTTCAATCTGCAGCAGTAGAAAGTAATTGCATGGCATATATTTATGTAGGGTATTTTTAGTTGCCCAAGTAATAAAATAAAAAAAGTGTGCTTTTGTGTGCTGGTTATTAGCTCGCTTGTTTTTCGTGGGAAGGTAAAAAAGCGATAGAAAAGCGATAGGCCTTAATAAGCATAGGAATCGCAGTTCTATCTGCCGAATTATGTAGAGAAATACTGCAAAGGCAAGTCGCACTTCCTCCATTGGAAGATAAGATAGTGATAGAAAAGCGGTAGGTTTTATCTTCATCGCCTGCTGAATGCAGGGTATCTGCAAGTCGAGCAGCCTCTCTTATAGCCTTTTCACTTGCTCCATGAACACATCTTTGGTCCGGCAGGCATTTATGTAGCTGTTGCTGTTGTCTGTGTATTAACTTGTAGCTCCCCGAGACTTGACTTATTTATTAGGGTTATTTGGCTAGTTATGCTCGTGTGTGAGTATGTGTGTGTGTGTGTCCTTTAACACGCATACGTTCAACTACCTGCTCATTTTCACCTGAGTACGTGTTAATTTCGTCTATTTATCTTTCTTTCGGTTTCGGTTTCGGTTTCTTTTCTTTTTGATTTTTGTTGCTGTTGCTGCAGTTAAATAGAAAAACTTATATAAATAAAGCTGATATGGGGGTCAGTTGGAATTGAAATTCTAATTAACAGTTGTCAGCCGTGTCAGACAGTCAAATGTATTTGTATCTGTGCTGTAGCTGTATCTGTATCTGTAGCTGCACGTTTAACTTTGACGTTGACTTTTTTCGGTGGTTCGACTCGGAAGTTTGGCCATATTTTGGGCCAACGTGGGAAATGCAAATGCCTAGTCAAGTTTCAGCTTGAACCCAAAACGAAGGGAGAGAGAGCGAGAGAGTGCGAGAGAGAGAGAGAGAGAGAGAGAGAGAGAGAGAGACTGTGTAAGACAGGAACAAACAAAGGCGTCGATTTGTATCTCAAGTGTACACAAATTCAACTTGCAGTCGAGGCCTTTGTTTAGACAATTCCCTTTCCATTTCAGCATTATTGTAGTTATTATTTCTGGTCTTCCTTCAGTTTTATGTTTTCTGCTTTCTGTTTTTGTTTTGTTTTGTTTTTACTCCTAAGTATTTGAGCTGCTGTCGGTTTTTGTTTTGTCTTCGACATTTGATACGATTTCGCTGCCAGTTGCTAAAATTACGCGCGTTGTTTTCATTGAGAGGCGTCGAAATGTGCCACGCCCCATTGTCTCGCCTCTCAAGTGGCCGCCGGCATATGCAAAGCATGTGTAACTACCAGTTGCCAGTCGGCAGTTGGCAAATGCCTGGCCGGAAGTGTGTGGCATCTCTTTGTGCCGCATCAGTTGCAAGCGCACGTAGCTTGCCTCATGTGGCAGCGAGCAGCCGCAGCATGCCCGAAAGGTCTTGAGTTACTGGCTCGCAATAATTTTATAAATAATCTCTGCCTCTGCCGCACAATGAGTGAGAAATATGCAGTGGGAGCATATGCAACATCGTGTTGCACGCTGCAGTTAATTCAGCGGCACATGCAAATTGGCCACAGCATTTGAGATTTTTAAATTGTTGCCAGGTCATGTGTCTGCCCGCCTGCCTCTGCCTGTGTGTGTGTGTGTGAAATGAGACACATACGTGCAGCAGATGCTAGAAGAAGCGCTGGATGCTTGTTAAAGTGCAACTTGCAGTGCCATCCAAACTGGTTTAAGCCTCTTCAAGCTGGGCTCTCGTCGAGCAGCAGAAAACTTTACTCATCGAAGTTTCCGAGAATTTTCAGCTTTCCATTTCTTAGCATTTGAGCTGGTCAAAGATTGAAAGTCAAATTAAATTCGCATTCTTATTTTTTTTCATATTTACTTGGTGAGAAATTC